GTTAGCCATTGCGCGCACGCACTCTGCTTATCCTTGCCTACTCTGAAGTTTTTCAGTAGAAGGGCCTGTGCTTCCTCCATGGAGGCTATTTGCTGCCCTGCTACACACATCTGGAGAAGTCGAAGTAGTTCTTTATCCGGCCGCTGAAGATTTGACACCAGCATGCTGATTGCCCCTTCCCAGTCCTCACTTGTCATGAGGGTTTCAAACCGAATCCAGGAGGCTAGCCGCATAGGCGCAGCAATTCTATCGCGATTGGGAATGACCTCCGGGTGCGTGAGCTTCAGATCAGTAAGGCTAACTTGCCCTTTGGGGAGTTGATGACAATGCAGCCGATGACAATAGTTGTGTTTATAACTGCCCATCCAGCGTGCGGAGCCTTCCACGTACGTGATATGCAGGGATTGTTGCAGCATGTCGAGCTCAGTGGCAGCTGGCTTCCAATCACACAAACAGTCATCGGCAGCATGGACAAGGTAGTAGTGGTGTTTGTCCGGGTCAGCTGTGGCAAGCAAAGCTGCTAGTACCCTTTTGGCATTGCAATGGCTCTGTGATCTGGCAGGTCGGCCATAGGCAGCGAATTGCTAAGGCAATCACTGCTCCAGTATAACTACCTGCGCTAAATCCATTAACCGAGAAATGTACTGGGGCAGCCTGGGTCACATGCCGGAGGCAGCTGAGCATCGGCAGGCAGGCGATTAGCTGTAAAGGTTGCAGCGAGAGCAGTTGGATGCCCACTACGGAACAGCCTCCTCGTCGCCTCATGTAGTGGGCGCCCTGGCAGCCTACAACCGAACAGTGGGTGTGGCTATCAGCATGGATGTGGCATTGGCGTCCCGGCAACGGGCTCTGGTTGCCCAAGCTGACCTGCAGGCATGGCAGTCGCAGTTGGAAACCAGCTGCCCTGCCCGCAAAGCTTTGCTTTTGTCTGAAGCTGAGCCGGGGGGCCGCGCCTTCTTGGCCGCTGTACCGGCCGGGCGGAAGCGCATGGAGCCTGCCGTCTTCACCGCCGAACTGAGACACCGGTTTGGGGTGGCTGAAGCTTCCGCCGACGGATGGTGCCCTCGGTGCGATGGTGTGCTCGACACCTTCTCCTTGCACGCCGAGCCGGCAGCGAGCGGAACCAACGTCACCACGCTCTCCGGGACTTGGTGTGCGCTTGGGCGGACCGGGCTGGCCTGCAGCCAGAGAAGGAGCGACCTGGCCTACTTCTCCCACAGCGCCCTGAAGACACTGGCGTTGCTCGTCGGCGCCCTGCAGACATCTTTGCCCCTTGCTTCTCTGGCAAGCCTACTGCATTTGACTTCGCCGTTACCGGCTTTCAGCGGCAGGCTAGCTTAGCAGACGCAGGGCGGCAAGGAGGAGCTGCAGCTGCAGCCTACTCAGCTGTGAAAATAGCTCACTTGGACACCGGTTTGTGCTGCCAGCAGCAAGGCCTTGCTTTTGTCCCCCTGGTGGCTGAGACGACAGGTGCTTGGGACCCTGCAGCGGCAAAGGTTTTGCAGACCATTGCCCGTGCGGTTGCCGCCGCGAACAAGTCGAGCCTGCGGCATTGTTTTCTGAGATGCTGCAAGAAACTTCGGTGTTGATCCGCAGCTTCCGAGGAAGGGCTGCCTTGCAGCGCCGTGCTGACGCTGCTTTGGCGGATGCCCCTTCCCATGCTGCCTCCGCGGCGGCTGTGGTCCTGCAGTCTTGAAGCCCCACTACCGAGATGCACGGCTTGACCCGTCCTTCTTGTGTAGCCTTGTATAGTTGGCGCTGGGCGGTGTCCTCGGGCACTCTCATTGGCTGCCCTTGCTGTGCCGCCGCCGCCTCCTTTTTTCTCTTTCCTGTGCAGTGCCCTATCATGCTTCCCCCGGTAGTTTGTTCTTTACTTCCACTGGCACCACGTGTTTTTGCTCGTGCCTGTTCTCGTTCTTGCTCCTCGCTTGGCGGGTGTTTTTTGGCCTAGCCCCCTATCCCTGTTTCGGCCTCTCACGAAGGTGAGCGGCCGAACAGCGATCCCCACTGGAGGGATCATGTGGAAGAGCTTGTATAGGGATTTTTTGAAGGGGATGTCCTACGATGTCCCTTTTCCCTTGAAGTACTTTGGACTCGGCCGCGAGGTCCTTCTTTTGTAGTTTTGGGCTCGTGCCAATCGACTTGTTTGTGCTATGAGAGTGTTTGGAGATGCTTTTTTGTTCTTTTAACATGTGTTGGACGACTGCGACCAGTCAGATTTCTTCAGAAGAAGAGATGAAGAACTTTGATGCAGTCAAACCGACTGTGATGTTTGGCTCAAGGAGAGCCGGAGGAAAGCTTGGATGCTATATTTTAAGTGAACCTGTCGCATGTGGATCCCAGAAAAATCACGTGCGACCACTGAGGAAGGCAATGTGTTGAGTTATTGCTCGACCGCTTAGTGGACGTCTTGGCCACCAAACGAACACATTTTCGACCCATTGCGTGCGCGTGTTTGTAAATCCCTAAGCTGGTTTGCGAGCGTTGTTTTGTTGTTTTGCTAAGGGGTATCCTTTCGCGACCCTGCAGGAAAAAAGGTAAAAAACAAAATTCGATTTTTACCGTTTTTACCGCGGATATGGTAGAAGAAAAGGAGCGTCCCCCCGGCAAAAACGGTAAAAAAAACTTTCGACTTTTACCGTTTTTACCCCGGATATGGTAGAAGAAAAGAACGCCCCCCCGGTAAAAACGGTAGAAAATAAGAATCTTTACCGTTTTTACCGCGGATATGTAGAGAAAAAGGGGCGCCCCCCCGGTAAAAACGGTAAAAACAATTTTTGTTTTCGATTTTTACCGTTTTTACCGCGGATATGAAATTTGAACATGGAGCGACCCCCAGTAAAAAAAAGATAAACAACAATTTTTACCGTTTTTGCCACGGAGATGGTAGAAAAGAAAAGGACAAGTCCACCTACAAAAACGGAAAATAACACACCATTTTGATTTTTAACGATATGGTAGAAACAAAAAGAGCAAGCGACTCTTCATTATAAACAACAAAAGTAATAGTTTTCACTTTGGAACGTTTTTTACCGCGAGAATGCCTCGGGACCAGGTCGCAAGCTAGAAGACCTCTGTCAACAAAAAGATTTAATGTGACAGAAGTTTGCATCCCATGGACATGACGCATGACTACCTTGAACCCGCGGCCTAAGTGGCCCAAGCCCGCTTCGCTCGAAAAAGGAGCGAGTGCTGTTTTTGTCATGGTAGCGGAGCCGGGCAAAGTCTCGGCTCCGGCAGCTCCACCTCGCCAGAAGCCATGGATGATGATCCTGGCCCTACTTTTGGTGACGACAGGCGATGGTGTTGAGCCCATGGACGAGATCGAGTACAAGGAGGTGAACTTCATGGACTTCCCCTTCATGAACATGGAGAAGGAGCAGGACGTGACGAAGGACCTTTTGGCCAACAGGGATTGGCACCCTGTGATGGATGACCTGAACCTCACTCAGGACATGTTGGTGGACTATGAGATGAAGAATATGAGGTGGATGGGTACCACCAGGTCTCTGGTCGAAGATCCTTGGAGTGGTGAGCAGCTCAAGGCTGGATGTGTTGAGAGCAGGTCAACTGCTCAGGTCGAAGATTGGTACTTCGATTCCTTTGACTTCGAGGACTTCAAGACTAGAACGGTTCGAGATTGGGACTTGAACCAAGGAGTTGAAAGCATTGAACAGTGCATGCAAAACAAGTCCACAGTAGAGACCAATGGCTACTTCCTGAGGAATGCCAAGATGGTTGAAGAGGCCATAGGTGATTTGGTCTTTGACCTTGAACGATTTTCGACAATCCTGCAGGTGTTGATGGAAGAAGTGAGTTGGGAGGTCTACTTGAGTGTGAATCTCTTCCTATTGCTCGGAGTTGAGATGTTGCGAAGATCCCAGAAGAGAGCAAGGACCTTGGTGAAGAGACACCATGAGCCCAAGGGCCACTTGAGCAGGAATCGAAGGTGGCAAGGAGGCCTTCGACAACGTTTTGAATTCAAGATGAAGCTGAGAAGCTTGATGTTTTTGTCCTTGTGGACTTCAGGCCAAGCCATGGATGGAGAGCAGATGCAACGAATGTTCAACCATCTCCTTCAGATGACTGAGGCTACGATGACAGCTGCACGGTCCTCAGCTTTGGTGGCTGAGAAGTTGAGCAAGAAGGACCATCAAGGGAGCTTCAGCGAAGCCAGCAAGGTTCTAAAGGCGCCTGAGGCCTTTGAAGTGGATGACCCACTCAAGTTTGTCAGTTGGTCTGACAACTTCAGAAACTGGCTGACCTATGGAGACCATAGGTATGTGGAGTTGCTGAAGCAGGTTGAAGCCCTTGATGAGCCGTGCACGCTAGCAGAGTTTGCATCTGATGAAGTCATTGAACTTGGCCATCGACTTTTTGCCATTTTGGCATCCTATGTGAAGGGTCCAGC